TGATCAAAGCTTCACACAGAAGGTTGTAATCCCTTCTCGTTGCATCAGGTAGACGCTCGATGAAGGTAAACACCTCTCTGTCCGAAGTGAGCCGTATCAGACTGATTTTATCCTCTACCGTAGCATTAGGATAAGATCTCAACCTGAACTCCAGATCTCTGAGGTACGCTTTTGTTCCAGATGAGCCCATCGGTCCAGGAACAAAGCGTTGTACATATTTTGAGATTTTTTGCAAATCATCCATTGAAGGAGTAGATATCAATGGTCTCACCTGCGTGATCGGTTGTGGGGGTGTTACTCTGCCTGAATGTGTAGGTGTTTGGATGGGTCTAAAAACACCGGGTGAGTAAAAAGGTCGTTGAAGTTTTGGTGTATTACTCCGACTCTGTTCAGGGTCTGGTTTGGATTCCAGATCACCTTGCCCAACTTCATTACCTTTATTTGTTGCTACTATTAGTTTCTCGTCACATTTTTTTAAATGTTCCTGGGATGTATAATAGTCACTTTCTAAACGCATATGTAGCTGTTGTAGATTTTGTTTATCTATTTTGCATTGTTCCAGCTCCATTTTTGCGAGCTGCAACTCTCTTTGTAGCAGTTCATTGTCTGAGCACGCAGCTTCGTATTGACGGTCTTTTTCACTAATCTTCTCATAAGATTGTGTTTGTAATGACGCCTGCATTTCTGAGAGCTCCCTCTCATGTGTTTTAGACATCCAGATAAGGCGTTCCGACCGTTCATCCAATTCTGCTTTTAGAAGCAGAGAGATTTTTGCTAACCGTTCATGGCTAAGCTTTTTACTCTCTGGCTCTAATGTTCCTGCGGCCAGATTTTTCAGCTCTTCATGTCTTTGAATTTCATCGAGTTGTTGTAATTGCTGTATTTCCTTGCCAATAAGTGGAGTTGTTAAAATATGTAAGGCCCCCAAAATGATATCATCATTTGTTTGGGAGTTTAAAAGATGCTCTTCTTCTTCGTCGCTTGCCATTTTTCTTCTATTTAAGGATTAAATAGGATAATTTAATGTTTTAGGTTTTTCAAAATAAATAAAATCAGAAAAGTCTCTTTGTCTGATATATTTACTCTTATTTAGTGATTTATCAATTAAACGTGCACTATCTTTTTAGCAAATGAGTAAACTTTTTCCAACTCTGTGAAAATCTGTAACTGTTTCTTTTTTTAAAAAGTTCCTAACTTTATTTTGTACCTTTTATAAGGGATTACCAGTGAATAAAGTCTCTTTGGTAAATGCTTCTTTGCATAGATACCTTAATAACTTTTAAAATGCAAGATAACAGTGATTATTCAGCTTTGAGGAACGTTTATTAACTCAAAAATGCCTTTAAAAAAAAGAAAATACGTTTAATTTCACTAAAATAACCTAAAAAGCGAAGTGAAACCTGTGTTCTCAAGTTTCTCCAGAAGATGGCAGAACAACCTTATTAATTTTAACTCAGACACTGTTAGTGTTGTCCAGTAGGGGAGCTATAACTTCCTGTGGCGTCCGGTCGTTAGCTGTTAGCTAAAAATTAGCATCGGCTAGACTCTGATAAAACCAACATTTCTGAACAGATTTTTTACACAAGCGTGGCAAAATTTTAGCAATTAGACTTCGAAGAACCTAAACAGCGTTTCAGAACACAGCTTTAAAGCGCTTTTCAGCTTTAAAAAGCAGATTTTATTTCCCTATGAAAACGAGTTTCATTTCCGGGTCACGTGACTGAAATCACCAATGACAGAGCAGCGCAGGGGTGAGAGGAAATGATGTAGATTGTCATTCAACTTCTCAGCGAATCAGAACGCTCCACAACAGCAGATTCAACCAATCACGAAGCATTTCAGCCAACTAGCATGTTAGATTAGCCTGAAATAAGTTCGTCAACTTTTCGTCTTTTAAACTGTCAAAATGCACTTTTTCTGTTAAAAATTGTAACGAATCAACTCTGAGCTTAGCTGAGACTTCGTCCAGTCTTTAAAACGTTTCTCCATCTATTCAAAATACTCGTTCAAACTTATCAGAACCGAACCGGACCACAGCCGGGTCTTGCAGCAGAACCTCCGTCCTTTTAAACAGAATAACGTTTTCCACAGCTCATCAGCTTAGTTACACGTAACAGGCGTACAATTTCAGCTTTAAAAACACTTAATGACACTATTTCAGCTTTCAAAACATTACCAGCGTAACACAGCGTAAACAAGCGGCGCAGCTTCAGCACGCTGCGTTCAATCACAGCTGACAAAACTGTTATCTTTCATGCCAACATGTAAAATCAAACTTTACACGAGTACACAGTCATTTATGAACACGTAAACGGGCCACCAAACGTAGTATGACATATGCGTATATATTCATACATTTTAAGACGGGTTCTTCATTTTTCTGACTGTGTAAATGCGTGCATTGAGTTTAACAGAAATGTAACGAGAGACGTTATTTACCTTTGACCCATCAAAATGAATGCGGTCATTTATTTGCAGAATCAAAGTTTAACATCACACATTTACATTAATTTGGCAAAATATGAAAACAATAACAATGGCAAGTTTCACAGAAAGTTGGAACAATACGGAGATTGTCCTCACTTCTCAGCAAAATAACAGACAGAAAGATTATTGGAGAAAACCAGACTTCGTGGAGTCAAACTCTCCTGTATCTTCTGTGAAGATTAAACATGACATTTCTTCTCAGTAAACATTTTAGTTGACCGAAAGTCGACCTTTAACATACTTACAAATTTGCTCATTGAAGACAGAAAAATCAAGAAATGCATATTAACCTGATTTCTTCTTTGAATGAGGAATAGAAATCATTACTTACTGTTTATGTAAGTAAAATGAGTAGTTCTCTTCAACCTGTAAACATTGAGTGAACTAACACAATTTGATTATCAAACATTTGTAAAATAGTAATGATCATAGAGAATTGTCTTTTCTACTTGATTAATTCAAGAAAGAAAGTCTCCGGATGGGTCAAACTGTATTTCTGGATGCAGATCAATGAAATAACAGTTTCTGTCCATCTGGTCAGATTTGACATCAGATCAAGTTCACTACACAGGTGAGTGGTGATTGCAGAGACAGGGTGCAGCAGATGAGTGCAGATTGTTGAGAGAGAGTGACAGGAGCAGAAAATGGGTGATAGGCAGTGCAGGACCAAACAGGATGAAATAAACAGAAACTGAGGCAGGAAAAAACGTGAATGATCTTAAAACAGGGGCTGTGATATGAGGAGCAGAGGCTTAGGCAGATGGGGGGGGCAGCGGGGGCCGCTGAGCGTGACACATCTATTCATTACTGGCACAGAACACATTAGTTTAATCACTTTTCTTTGAGTTTGTTTATTTTAAGTGCATTTGATCATGAGGTAACACGCCACCGTTAAAATCTAACCAGGCTCTGACGACGCGGTGCCTCCGCACTTCACCAGAGACGTCCTCGGAAACAAGGACCCAGGGTTAGACCGCGGAGTCACGTTAAGACACCCAGAGGGCATCTACAGCAAGAGGCTGAAAGCTGCCAGCTTTGAAATGCAACATCCTGAACTCAGAGGTGAGCTGAATACATGCATCATGCACTCACATACTCAGGTCCTTACTAGAACAGGAAATGGAAAATATGTGAAGTGCTTTCATAAACAAAAGTATTCTTGTTTTTTTATTTTTTTTTCAATACATTATCTTCTAGTTCTGATAAGTTTAAACAGCACATATAAAAATAAAGATAATGCAATAATTAGTAAATCATATAAAATAGCATTTCATTTACAATATTGTGTACGTAGGACAGTAAATAACAAAATATCTGTCTGTTTTTGCAGTAGGTGCCTCCGCAGCAGCCGATAAAGGCTTCCCAGCTGTGATTCATATGCATAAACCCTCCTCTCTGGGGGCAATTACCTTCGCTGGAGAGCCTTCACAAAATAACCACAAAATCTCTACAAGGGACCAGGTCACTAGCCCGGTCCAGTTCCTCCAATACAAATCAACTGAGATCAGTCATAAGAGTGTTCATCAGGTCCATGTAGAAACTGTCCAAACCTCTGTCTCCCAGACAAGAGAGCGAGACCTCTCTCAGCTGTACCCCGAACAGAGCAGCAGCACCCTCGACCACCGTTGGCAGAAGTTCTGTAGTCAGTGGATCACAGAGGTGTCACGTCCTGCCAGTGACGGAGAGGCTTCATTGTTGAAGCGTCTAGAGTGCTTGTCTCGTCTCATTGATCACACAAATACTGATTTACAGGAGGATCAGGGTCATCTTCTAGAAGAGCAGCTTGGAAGGATACTGAGGCAAAAAGAAGCACATCAAGAGGTCAGAAGAAGCAAACGTGATGCCTTCACTGAGGTTGAGTGTAAAGTTAGAGGGGGTAAAGCTGAACTTCCCATCCAACAAAGGCTGCAGGTAGAGGAAGCAGAAGAAAATTATGGCCATGCCTCCATCTCCTCCTATAGCTCCTCCCAGAGTGTCCACCACTCACCAGCAGACAGAGATGAATCAGAGACCTCACTTTTTGTTTCTGGTTCCATGTCCACTGTGGATACAGCTCGTCTGATGCAAGCATTTGGTCCCCACAAGGTGCAGCACCTGAAAGGCAGCTCCAGCCTCAGGAAACTGTACAGCACTATTGACAAGCAGCAAGAGAGAGACAGACACAAAGATAATCTTCATGATGTCATCCCATCACAAACCACTGCCACTAAAGAACCAGTATGTGAATCTGCAACTTTCTGTACTCAGTTCTGGCATGAGAAGTTCAGTTACAGATATTTGTTTATTATCTGCACTTAACATTTCATAATGGCCAAATATCAACATCTTATTAAGAAAGATGAACATTTATATTGTTTTGATCATTAGTCAGTAATGTGAGCTTTTACAAAATCTACTGACGGATCAGATGAATGAATCATGTCTCGTCTTCAGGTTGCTCCTGATTCAGCATCAACTTCCAGCACATGCACCGTCCCATTACCCCATGGACCTTCCAGGGCTCTGACAGCCAAGAGGGCCAAAAGATTGATCAACAAAAGTGTCCAGACAGGTCAGTCGCCCTGAACATGTTCAAACATTTTTATTTTTCAGTTCTTTCTGATGTAAATTGATCATAAACTCTTAAACAAAAAATAAATCGGACATGATATTTCAAGGAATGGTTTTCTGTGTTCACAAGATTTCAATCAGTTTCTTTTTTACAGTAGGACATTGGTTCAGCTGCATAATTTTTTTAGTGTCTTTGTGTTCCTAAGGCTAATTTTATGGTAAGAATGAAAATATATAATTCTTTGAAGACCTTTTTACGTGAATTGACTAATTTTATTGTTGTTGTATGAATTAGAGTCAGAGTCAGTCAGAGATTCTTTATCGTCATTCGCACCTCATGTGGTACATGTGGTGGAGCGAAATTATGTACACACAGGGTCCCAGTTACATCCAACAATAAAATGTATAAGAAAAACAGTAATAACATCTAAGATATGAACTAAGAAAAACATCAACTAAATATACACTAAGCACTCATAACATAAAAACATTGAACATCAGCACAAACATGAACATGAGTCTGTGTGAGCGGATGTGCACACATGAACACATCAACATTGAAACAGATCAGCAGCAACATGATATGGTTTTACACAGTGATTATTCTGGTTAGAGATTCATGAGTCTAACAGTCTCAGGGTAGAAGCTGTTCCTCAGTCTAGTGGTTCTACACTTAATGTTCCTCAACCTCCTTCCTGAGGGGAGTGGGGCAAAAAGTGTGTGTGCTGGGTGAGTGGGGTCCTTCATGATGCAGGTGGCCCTTTTCCTGCATCTGGAGGTGTAGATGTCTGTGATGGTGGGAAGGCTGATTCCGACAGACTTCTGTGCAGCCTTCACCACTCTCTGCAAAGCTTTTCTTTCTGCAGCTGTGCAGCCTCCATGCCACACGTTGATGCTGGAGCACAGGATGTTCTCCACTGCACACCTGTAGAAGGAGGTGAGGACTGAGCTTCCCAGACCAGCTCGCCTCAGCCGTCTGAGGAAGTAGTCTCTGAAGAGCTTTCTTGATCAGGCTGGTGGTGTTGTTGCTCCAGCTGAGGTTGTCATTCATGTGTACACCCAAGTACTTGTAGCTGGAGACCACTTCCACTGCAGATCCTCTTATGTTCAGGGGGGTGTAGATGTTTTTGTTCCTTCTGAAGTCCACAATCATCTCCTTTGTCTTCTTCACATTGATGTGAAGGTTATTCTCTTTGCACCAGCTCTCCAGGTGTTCCACCTCTTGCCTGTAGCTGGACTCATCATTGTTTGTGATGCATCCCACCACCACTGTATCATCTGCAAACTTTACAAAGTGACAGCCTGCATGGGTAGCTGCACAATCATACGTGAGCAGACTAAACAGGAGGGGGCTCAACACACATCCCTGAGGAGAGCCAGTGCTGAGGGTTATGGTGGAGGAGGAGAAGTTGTGGATCCTCACTAACTGTGGTCTGTTTGTTAAGAAGTCTAGGTTGCAAATGGAGGGGCCCAGTCCCAGTGTGGATAGTTTGTCCATCAGGGTTTGGGGGATCATGGTGTTGAAGGCGGATGTGGAGTCCACAAAGAGCATACGGACGTAAGAGTTTTTCTGCTCCAGGTGGTTGAGCGCAGTGTGGACCACAGAGGAGATGGCATCCTCTGTTGATCGGTTCTCATGGTATGCATACTGATGAGGGTCCTCGTTGATGTTGATGGTTGTTTTGATGTGAGTCATGACCAGTTTTTCGAAGCATTTAGCGACTATCGGGGTGAGGGCCACTGGCCGATAATCATTCAGACCAGTCACTGTAGAGCTTTTTGGGACTGGGATGATGGTGGCAGTCTTCAGGCAGGTGGGAACTGTCTCCAGGGTAAGTGAGATATTAAAGATGTCTGCCAGCACCTCGCAGAGCTGATCAGCACATTCCTTCAACACTTTTCCGGGGATGTTGTCTGGGCCAGTTGCTTTGTGCGGATTAATCCTCCTGAAAGTACTCCTTACTTCTGTTGAGGTCACGCTGAGATGCTCTTCATCCGGTGGTGAGGTGAGTCTGGTGCTGGGTGGTCTTTCCGGTCTTCAAAGCGTGCATGGAACTTGTTAAGGGCATCAGGCAGAGATGGGTCTTTGGGGCATTGTTCGCTCCTTCCTTTATAATCTGTTATGCATTTAATGCCCCTCCACATGCTCCGAGGGTTTTGTGAGATGAATTGACCCTCGATCCTCTGCTTATGTGGCCTTGGCCCTCTTAATACCAGCAACCAGCTCTTTTCTTGTTCTACTCAGCTCCTCTGAGTTTCCAGACCTGAAGGCAGTGTTCCTGGCTTCCAGCAGGGTACGCACCTCTGCATTCAGCCAAGGTTTTCTGTTTGGGTAGCTTTTAACATTTCTGATAGTGGAGACGGTGTCAGTACATGTACTAATGTAACCCAGAACTGAGGATGTGTATTGGTCAAGATCAAGCGAACCTCCATTTTCAGCAGCTTCTCTGAAAACCTTCCAGTCTGTTCGATCAAAACAATCTCTCAGTATGGGGCCACTGTCCTGGATCCAGCATTTAACTTTCTTTTGTACCAGTCTGGAGCGTCTCAGCGGGGGCATGTAAGCAGGAGCCAGGAAGATTGAGATGTGGTCTGACAGTCCTAGGTGGGGGCGGGGTTCGGCTTTGTATGCATCTTTTACGTTCGTGTAAACACGGTCCAGCGTCTTGTCTCCACGTGTCGGAATCGTCACATGTTGATTAAAGCTTGGGAGACACTCCTTTAGATTCACGTGGTTAAAGTCTCCGGCTACCACATAAAGAGCCTCGGGGTGTTTACTCTGCAGCGAGCTGATGATATCATGTAACTCCTGCAGTGATTCATTAGCATTAGCGTCCGGAGGAATGTAAACAACTGTGATAAAAGTCACCGTGAACTCTCGGGGTAGATAATGTGGCCGACATTTCACTGTTATTTGCTCCAAAGCCTTCGAGCATGAGCTATTTACAACATTACAGTTTGTGGACCAACTTTTACTCACGTAAATGCATACTCCGCCTCTCCGTGATTTCCCCGTTAGCTCGCTGCAGCGGTCCGCTCGAAAAAAAAGTCTGTCATCCAGCTGGAAGACTGTGTCCGGCGTTTCGCTTGTAATCCACGTTTCCGTGAGGCAAAGCACTGCACACTTCTTCATCTCTTCTGAGGCGCCCGCTCTCAGACGAAGTAAATCCATCTTGTTGTCCAACGAGCGGACATTCGACAGCAAGAGAGACGGCATGGGGAGTTTACCGGCTTTAGCGTTAGCTCGTAACCTCACCATAACCCCCGCCCGGCATCCTCTCCTCTTAAGCCGGGAGCAGCGCTTCCTCTTCTGCCAGCTGGAACACCTCTGCTGCAGCTTCCAGGTAGATGACTTTAAGATCTACATTCTGCCGAGCATAGTTTTGAGTTTGTTGCCGATTTCTGCTATATTTCGTGGCAAATCCGCTCCTATTCTCATCAGTTCGGTTCGGCTATAGTTCACACGCATAAATCGTGCGGAGTCAGGCACAGAGTCAATATCAGAACTTCTAAAAACTGGGATGGTACCGGGAGCCTGTGAAGCTGCAACTGCTCTGAGCGCGGCCATCTTGCATCATTCAACATGCAGTTCTCACTCTATTCTAATCACAGAATACAGTTTTAATCTCATAATTTCAACATGCAGTTCTCACTCTATTATGTTTTTGGTTTTATATTTTTATTTCATGTGCTATAAATATATCTTGCTACTTTTTATTTGATGTTGTGATATTTTTGTTAAGCACTTTGGTAACAGTTTCTGTTTTAAATGTGTTCTATAAATGAATCTGACTTGACTTGACTCTATTCTAATCACAGAATACAGTTTTAATCTATCATAATTTCTCTTGTGGGCAGGGGACGATTTCATCAATTGTGACATTACTCGACAACTTATACACCGGAAATTACGGTAAATGTTTAGCTTTATTCCTCCACTTCTTCAGGTGACCCTGGGATTGTGAGGAATGAAACTCTGCGACACACCAGAGATGTTGGAACCACGTTCCCTTCTCCTGGTGAAGCTTTTGGGCAGATCTCTTCATCCAACATGGGGAGAGGAAGAAGTGGGCATAAGAGTCCTCCTAAACCTCACAGCATCCACCGGCAAAGAAAGAACAAGAGGAGCCCTTCAAAGCCCTGTCCTAAAGGTAACTGCCAGGTTTCTGCTTGCATAAACAATAAGCTTGTTTTTACTTGTGTATTTTGGTTCTCCAGGTGTTTCGTGGTTCATCTCTGCTGACACCCTGAGCTCAGAGACCAAGAAGGAGAACCATCCCGCTGAGTCGTCTGCTTGGTTTGAACCGTACAGTAGAGTCGGTCCATGGAGAGCGCCACTCCGACAGAAACAAGTCCATGAGGACAGAGACAAGCAGTCCTGTTTTAAAGATTCACCTGAGCCTGATCCAGCTCCTACAACCAGAACCGTGTTCTCTGATCTCACCTGTGTCTCCCTGCAGGTTTGAAGACTTTTTATCATACCATACCATTTTATTTATAGAGCACTTAAAACAGCGACAAGGCCAACCAAAGTGCTGTACAGACAGAATAACAGGTAACACACAAAGCTATATACAAAATGAAGTAAACCAGAATATAGACATAAAAACGATGCAGATAATGACGACAAACAAGTGTGGAGCGTACAGGTTAAAAACACAGATCCTCGTGTTGAAAGCCACCGAATAGTAGTGGGTTTTAAACGGGACTTGAAAACCGAGAGGGAGGGGGCCTGTCTGACAAGCAGAGGTAACTCGTTCCAGAGTCTTGGTCCTGCTACAGAGAAGGCCCGGTCACCTCTGCGCTTAAGACGAGTTCCTGGAACTGTGAGGAACAACTGGTCCGCTGACCTCAGGGAACGTGGTGGGACATACGGTTGTAGCAGATCAGAGAGATGGGGGGGCGAAACTGTTCAGTGATTTGTAGACATACATGAGTATTTTGAACTGGATTCGAAAGTGAACTGGTAACCAGTGCAGTGAGGCCAAAACTGGTGTAATGTGCTCTCTTTTGCCTGTACTGGTTAAAAATCGGGCTGCTGCATTCTGGACAAGTTGTAGTCGTGCAATGGAGGTTTGACAGATACCAAACAGGAGTGAATTGCAGTAATCAAGCCTAGATGTAATGAATGCGTGTATTACTGTCTCCAGGTTATTTTTGGACAATATGGACTTCAGTTTAGACAGCCGCCTCAGTTGAAGAAACATTATTTAACAATCATGTTTACGTGATTGTTAATTTTCAGGGAAGGGTCCATTATCACACCCAGATTAGTGACTCTTTGTTTTTTCTGACAGGGTTAGAGCGGAGAGGTCGATGCAGTGGTTTGTGATCGTGTCATTGGGAGGGAACAACATGACTTCAGACTTCTTTTCATTGAAACTTAAGAAGTTTAAAGCCATCCAGTCCCTGATGTCAGCTAGGCAGTTGAGCAGAGGTTGAATAGAGCATGTGCCATTGTGTCTTAGGGGGAAGTAAATTTGACAGTCATCGGCGTAGAAGTGGAAGGGCATGTTGTGTTTCCGGAAAATAGCACCAAGCGGCAGCAGGTATAAAGAGAATAGGAGGGGAGAGATACGCTCATATTGTTCCAAATAAGCGACATCGATGACAGAAAAACGAATATCCAGAAGCTGTTGTCGGTCATACATCAGTGGTGCGTTTATGTCACAGATAAAAAAACGAACAAAACAAAAATAATCCGAACACCATCAGCAGAGGTGGATTGCAAGACATGTACACGGGCGCCATCTTACCGGAAGTGGCTTTTTGCTTCAAAAATATGTGCAGTAGTCCCTCGTTTATTGCGGGGATTTCCATTCTCATCTCCCCGTGATAAGTGAAAAACCGCGAAGTAGGAATAGTAGTACAAGTCGTAAGTAGTAGTTTATTTTCGTATATATATGTAGTGATGTAGGGTTAGTTAGCGTAGGAGCTCCACTACAATCAATATTTAATGACGGGTTCTCTCTTTTTCGAGCTACTTGACAGATATGTGACAGTGATACTGTGTGGGAGATGGTCTAATCAGTGACGTGAGACGTTAATTTTCTTTGACCCATCAAAATGAATGTGGTCATTTATTAACAGAATCAAAATTTAACATCAACATTGTACACTTGATTATTCTGATTGAACGCAATAACACAGCTTAATTAATGAGCTTTACAATGAGAAATCATACGGCCATGATTTCTCACTTGCAACTGAAATACAACAGACATTTCTGAAAATATCTGGATTAATTACTGGCAAGATAGAAGAGTTTTAAAGATGGGAAATGAAGGAGTTTAAATGGAGAGGAAAAAGATGGATGAGAATGTATGTCTGTAGACCAGAACAACACGCTCCTTTGAAGGGCAGTTCGCCCGCGGTACACTGGTAGTGAAGCTCAACGACTCTTTACCTTTGGCGGAGGATGAATCCGCGGCGGTCAAGAGGTACCCGGTACGCTACCTTTCAGCGTCTCCTCAGGGCGGCTGCGACTCGGCAGAAGTCGTGAGAACTAGTTCCACAGAACAAACCTCCTCAGAAGTTATGAAGTTTTCACCGGGTGGAGTCACAGCGAGGCATCGTGGCTCCTACAGGAACTCCAGCCGAACTTCATCAGTACCAGAAGAACTTAACGGGACTCTGAGAAGACTCAGAGGAACTCAGAACTTCTGTTCTCTCCCAGAACTTTGGTTCACGTCCCAGAACTCCGGTTCATGTCTCAGAACTTCGGTTCATGTCTCAGAACTTCAGTTCCTGTCTCAGAACTTTTCTGTTCGGTTCTGCTCTCAGAACTGACTGGAACTAGGAAGTGTCGACATTTAAAGAGTTCTGTTTCCGGTTCATTTGAGAAGTCCTGATTGGTTGAAAGAACCAACAGGGGTGTGGTTTTAGTGACGTAAGAGGTTACTACAAGTCAGAAAAACAGCGGAGATGTTTTAGAACAGACAGAGAAATGTTTTGGAGCAGACAGAGAAATGTTTTGGCGAAGTGGGAGGAAACAGGTGCCACCAGTTTCTTATTTCTGTCTGATAGGTTTAAAAACATGACAGTTCGTTCCAATAAACTTGTTTGCGACTGTCTCCGACTTTTGACCGACATCACTCCTTCTCATTTCAGACAGAAGATCAAAAAATGCATAATTACTTTGTAACAGACATTAACTTTATTTCTACTTTGAATGAGGATTAAAAAATCATTAATACTGTTTCACAGTTGATTTAAAATGAGTAGTTCACTTCAACATTTAAAATGATTTGAACTAAACACCTTTTGATTATCAAGACATTTGTAAAAATAGTAATGACAATATAAAAGAGAGTGTTCTTTCAATTGATTAGTGCAGGATACAATTAGAAAGTCTCTGGATGAGCTTAATTTGTATTTCTGGATTCAAATCAATGAAATAACAGTTCTATGTCATATAGGCTTCGCCCTTTAAGGCTGTCGCTGATGGGTTTATCCCGTTATGCAGAGCATAAGCACTGAAAAAATTTAGTCCACGCCCACCTGCTATGTGGGCCCCACCCGGTCCGTATAAATTACGTTAAGAGCGGGAAATCGGCTCCCATTTTTTCTTCAGCGAGCTAATATAGCACTGTCAGAAGAACAAAGAGGATAAATTGTGTAAATGACCAACCTTTGTGAAGGATGCTTGGCCCGGCAGTCGACCTCCGGTCGTCCGGTGAGTTCTCCTCCCCGAGGAGAAGATGACGAGCAGTCTTATTCCAAGGTAAGCGTCGGGGAACATTTCCCAGTGACAGGTCACTACACGCTGGACAACGCCATCTTGTATTTTTTTTTTCCTCTTATCGCCGACCCTCGGGGCGAACCGGATGGTTCCTCCGGAGCAAGGTGTGCTCAGCTGCAGCCCCCGCTGCTCATTCCCTCCTGGGGAGCGTAGTGTAGGTGAAGGGGGGCTGAGTGAATGCTCACCCCATCCCACCTCGTTTCGCATCGGCGATCACACCGCTCCCAGCCGACAGCGCCCTCACGGTTGCCCGGCGGAACCCAGGAGGAGGCTGACATGAAGGGACCCCTTTTTTCTACGTTCCACGCCTTTTCCCGCCAGTTCGGATGATCGGCGGGAAGGTTGTTTTTCACTGGGCTCCACTGTGGCTCACCGTCTTGATCCATACGGCCTCGCGTTCCAACAGGACGTTCGACGGGCGAGGCCACAGACGGTTCTTTCCTGGTAGATTGGAGGAGTCGGTCCCCAGTCCGCCCCCATCACCAGAGTTGAGGGATTCACCGAGCGGGGCTATTCCTCGGTAACCCCCCCTGGAGCCAAGCCTCGCGGAAGCTTTCGGAGCGAAGCTGCCCAGGTCGGAGCAGCGTCCCGTCCCTCCGGAGGAACACGAACCAGACGGTGACCACGCTCTCCAATCGAGCCCACCGGTGTGTTTTTTCAGGCAGCCGCAGTTAGCAACAACGTGCGCTGCTAGCATATAGCATGTCCAAGGGACTGAAGGCCGCAGACCTGCCTTGGAGACAAAGAACTCCCTCTGTAAGGCAGCTGACGCCAGCTCAACATGTGTGCCTCTCTTACGGTTTGCCTGTCGAGGACTGCAGCGTGGATGACGATGATCCAACGATCCACCTGGCTTCGTTACTCCCCTCGCTGCCGGAGAAACTGCACAAGACCTGATGAAGCCCATCGCGGACGCGCTGTTCAGAGCAGCTTCAAACCATGCTGGCGAATTGAAACAGTCAGAGGAGGTGCCAGAGGCTGTGCGCCACCTCATCAAGCCGCGCGGCCCATCCCGGCCCGCTGGAGGGACCGTCGCGAGCAAGCTTCGACTTTTCCACGGCCGCGGCTCTCGCTGAGTTCCACCACCAGCCCCGCCCGTCAGAATCCAGCCCTCTTCATTCCGGCAACCTGCAGCTCAGCGTTTCCCCAGAGTTCGCCTGCAAGACAGCGCTCTGGGCAAACAATCGCAGAGCTCATGAGAGAGAAGTTTCTCAAAATGACGGTCTCCGGAGGGTGTGTGTAAAAGTGACACGAAAGTTGAAATAAATCATCATTTAATGATCAAAGTGTCTGTTTTTTAGCCAGTCTGTAAGCTCGGATGAGCTCACAGCGGCCGCACACATAAAGAGCCGGTGTCCTTAATAAGGTTTTTTAAACTCACCGCCGCTCCAAGACATTACTAGTCGCTTACAGGGCACAATGGTAAGTGAAAATAACTCGTTATAATCCCGAGCTGCACGATTCTCACTCATGCGGTGTCAACTCGCACTCGTGGGATGAAACAGCCTCCACACACGAGCCGGTGTCCTTAAATAAGGTTTTTAAACTCACCGTCGCTCTAAGACATGACGAGTCGATCACAGAAACAGCTTCCACACATGAGCCGGTGTCCTTAATTAAAGGTTTTTAAACTCACCGTCGCTCTAGACATGACGAGTCGATCACGGCACAACTGTAAGCGAAAATAACTCGTTATCAACTAGAACTGCACGATCCTCA